CCAAAACGTCTCTCACATGTGGTACCCCCATACTTGGGAGAAGCAGCAGAATGTATTTTGGGGAGTAATTCCACATATACCCATGGCATGTGTGAGCAGTAAATCATTTCATTGACAATTTTGTGTAAAAAAAAAAAAAAAAAAACAAAATTATATTTTTTTTTTGTCATTTTCCAGAAACTTGTGGAAAAAAATAAATTCTTCTATTGATTCAACATGCCCCTCAGCAAATAGTTTGGGGTGTCTACTTTCCAAAAAGGGGTCATTTTGGGGGGGTGGGGGTGTTTTATGCCCAGCATTAGAAGTTTATGCCACACATCACTCACTCTTCTAACCACCTGAAGATCAAGCCTTTTCTGACACTTTTTGTTCACATGAAAACAAATCAGTATTTTTTGCTAGGAAATTAATTTAAACCCCCAAACATTATATATTTTTTTAAAGCAGACACCCTAGTGAATAAAATAGTGGGTACTACAATTTTTTATGGCACATAGTACTCGTGCAGCAATTTTTCAAAAGAAATTTTAAAAACAAATACACTTCTTTTTTTACTTTTAATGCACAAAAACACAATATATTGGTCAATTATTTTGTAAAATATAAAAGATAATGGTATGCCGAGTAAATAGATACCAAACATGACATGCTTTTAAAACTGTGCATGCCCCGTGCAATGGCGACAATCTGCAAACATTTTTAATATCCATAGGCAACGCTTTAAAAGCCTTTAAAAATTTTTAGATTTACAGAGGAGGTCTAGTGTTAGAATTACTACCCTTGATCTGACGTTCACGGCAATACCTCACATGCATGGTGCAACCGCTGTTTACATACCGGCACAGGGTCAAGGTTTGTGCACACAGGTGTGCGCACATGGGAGGGGCGATTTATTATTTTTACATTTGTACCTTTTTCATTTTTTTTTTCTCTGATCACTTCTAATGCTATAACAGGGAATGCAAATATCCCCTATAACTTCAATGGGTATTGTCATATATTCTTTTTTGAGAAATCTGGGGTCTATCAGACTCTAGATATCTCCTCTGCGCTTACATTATCTAATCAAACCAAAATCGCTGTGATCAGATGCTTTCCCAATTTACAAATGGTTTATATCCTGCAAAACTGAAGTGATGAAATTCTTGTAGCTTCTGAATTCTTAGGCTATAGAGATGACTGGCACCACTCTGGTCTCCAATCAGCTCTATGGTCAGCTGGTAGAAACACCGGCTGCATTTCAGGTTCCCCCGTTGGCACAAGACTGCCCGAGAAGGCTGTGGAAGACAGCGGGGGAGGAAGGGCATCACCTCCCACTGCTTGTAAAAGCAATCCTGCACCTAATTAGCCACTAGGATTGCTTTTACATGAAAGCCGATCACCGGCTGAAAAAAACGATACCAGGATGATGCCTGCAGCTGTAGACATCATCCTGGTATAAACCATCCAAAGTCCAGTGATGTACCAGTACGTCGCTGGTCCTTGTTGGGTATATATACTATGTTCTTTTTTTTTTTTGTATGCAGCCTGTGGACTGAATGACAAAGATGAGACGAAATCTCTGCCAGAAAAAGTTTCTGGTATGCCCACCATTAGAATATACCACCCTGCATCCACCCACTTCTAATGGTGGGCACACATTAGGTCACACTTTGCCACAAGCGCCAGTTCCAAGATTGAACAAATGTCTAAATAGTGGCACGCTCTGAATAAAAATTGTCCACGTATAAGTGGTACCCCATATTGAGAAATGATGACACCAAGTCCCACACTATCTTGTCACTGCTCCCCATGTAGTCTGGGCATCCAGGGGGCTCCACGTGACTATCTTTTCCCTCGTAAATCCGAAACTTATAAGTATAGCCTGTTGTCCTCTCACAGGTCTTCTGCATCTTGACCCCATATCTGGCATGCTTGCAGGGGAGAAATTGTTTGCATGCAAGGCTGCCAGAAAAATTAATGAGGGACTCATCAACGCAGATGTTTTGCTGGGGAGTATAGACATCTGCAAACTTTAGGGTAAGGTGATTTGCGAGGGGCTGAATTTTGTGGAGCTGGACAAATTCAGGGTCACCCAGAGGATGACAAATTGTATTGTCGTTGAATTGCATAAAACACATTATACTCTCATATCTATGTTTGGCCATAGGCAGCAGAGAACACGGCATATGATGAATCGGGTCTGCGGACCAATACAACCGCAATTCATTTCTTTTAGTAATGCCCATGTTGAGGGTTAGGTCCAAAAAAAAATGTAAATTTTAAAACCGTAATGAGTTTCCATGCGCCTGGTCTGGCAAGGTTTGAATTTGGGTTGGCGGTGATAAATTGTTGTGCATATAAATTGCTTTGATCCACAATCAACGCATACAGATATTCTGTGAAAAACAGCTCCAAAAATCAAGGAGGTATGTGATAGACCTGGATGTACTAGACCGCTGGTACTCACCAGTTCACCAGAAGGTAGAGCGGCACTTAGTACTGGCACTCTGCTGCATATGAGAGTCATCAAAATTTACCGGCAAGTGCTAACAGAGATCAAGCCTGATTCTGCGAACACTGCGGTTTTGTGTGCAATGTATCAAGTGACAGTGACCTACTGACACTGCACTTGCTGGGGGAGAAGGGGGGGGGGGTAAAGCGTAGGGGCTAAACGCAGGTGCCAGGGCTGATCCCGCTAACGCTGCATTTTTGGGAACACTATACTAATGTGAACGCTGGTATAGTGCTGATCTGATCAAAGATATTGACCTGTTCAGACACTATACTAGCAATGGAGGTTTATTGTACATGAGCGTGCTCCTGGCAATCAAGGGGTTAAATGTGATGACTGGTGTACTGATGGGCAATCTGACGCTATCTGGGAGGGGCGTGAAAACAAGGGGAGCGCAAATCATGTATATATATGTGATTTTGCACACCTATGCCGCCCTGTAGCAGTATTTCTGCTATAGGGTGGTCAGGAAGCGGTTACAGAAGAGGTTTGTGTTACGGCCCTGCGTTACTTTAACTGACAAATTGTACGGTCATGCAACACTGCACCCAAATTAAATTTATGTCCCTTTTTTCCCACAAAACGAGCTTTCTTTTGGTGGTATTTGATCGCCTGTGCGTTTTTTTTTTTTCTTTTTTGCGCTATATAAAAAGGCTGACAATTTTGAGAAAAAAAACTATATTTTGGACTTTTTGCTATAAAACATGTCCAGTAAAAAAATTTAAAAATAAAATTTCGTCATAAATTTCAGCCAAAATGCATTCTGCAACATGTCTTTGCTAAAAAAAAAATCAATACGTGTAAATTAATTGGTTTACATGAAAGTTATAGCGTTTACAAATGGCGGGAAAGATACTGGGATTTTTAATTTTTATTTATACTAATAATGGCGGCGATCAGCGACTTATGGTGACGATCAGTGACTTATGGCTGCGATCAGCGACTTATGGCAGGACTGCGGCGGACATTCTGACACTTGGGGAGGAACTGACTTGGGGTCACTGACATCCCCAGTGACATCAATACAGTGATCAGTGCAAAAAAAAAAATACTGACACTGTACTAATGGCACTGGGGAGGAAGGGGGTTAACATTTTTATTCAATGACAGGGTTAACTGTGTGAGGGGAGTGTTTTACTAGGGGGCTGGGGGGGGTGTACTGCAGGGAGACACGCTGATCCGGACAGATAAACTCTTCTGTCCCGATCAGCTTGTCAGGAGCTGACAGGGAACTGACAAATAGCAGAGCTGTGTGTAAACAATGCAGCCCTGCTCTCTGTCAATGTTTGCCGCTAATCGCCGGGAAACGGCCGGTAATGACTGACCGTGACCCAGCGACTGACTGACTGACCGCAATTAGTGACACAGGTAGGGCGGTGGCGCGCCTCGCGCGTGACTCCTACCTGTTTTGCAATAGCACGTTTTAAAACGTGCTTTTGCGCAGCCGTGCCGCCCCCTGCAAACTTTTTAATGCAGTGGCTGGTCTTACAGTGGTTAAAACAATTCTTGAGATCTGAGTACGTGAGAAACAAAACAAAGTTGCATAGTCACATGGCAAGTAGGTTTTTTTTTTTTATTATGGAGAAAGATCTACATTCTATATAAAAATATATTGTCATATTGCTTTAATAAAAATGAATCTATGTGAGTACCCCTGAGCAATAAAATAATTGAAAGCCCCTGCCAAGTGTTCCCACACTCCTTTCAATCTATATATATTAAAAGTGTGGCTCTGCTTAGTGCTTAGTCATCCCTCTACTGGTTACTCTAAAATCAAGTGCATGAAAAAGTGACAATGTACAAATTAGAAATAAATAACCTGCATGCTGTAAGTTATATGCTGTCATTCACAACAATGTTCTAGCATAATCGTACAATGTCCATATACATAAAGCTTCCATCTTCCCTGATCACTGTGATATATGACATAAAGTCCACTACTAACGTTGCAGTCCCGAGTTCAGTGCCTCACCTTGAGTACACTTCACAATCCACTATTTGGTGTCACGTGTGCGTTCAACACCAATTGCACCTCCGAATGTTAACCTATATCTCCAACAGGTCAAACACAGCCTTCCCCTAATTCCAGGGTTGTAAACCTTGATATCCTCCTCTCCGTACCTTGGATGGTCAGTAGTCTGCCAAATCACTTCTGATGTACTCTCAGGATAGTTCATCACTTTATTCCTTTGGAATTACCAGCTCTCAAAATCCACGTCACCATGCAATATGCTTTTATTTTTTTATCATGTAAACTGATACATTCTGCTGGAGAGATTCTGAAAAACAGCAGAGTTGCTGGCTGAATCACCAGGTGATAATAGAAGGAAGAAAGCCTAACAAAGAAAACTAATAAAACTATTACATCTAATAATTGGTAAACTGCAATATAATAAATGTTTGCTTTTGGGCTTAATACTGCTTTAATCACTAACTAGTGTCACATTTTTAATATATAGTAAATGGTTTAACCAAAATATGATTTATTGTTCTACTGTTTTCACAGATCTGACATATGAACTGACAGTGAAGAGTTCAGACCAGACAGGTATGATGTTTTTTATTGGCAGAATTATACTGCAATATTCAGGGTCTTCAGATGTTTTTAGTTGAAATGATTTGCTGTGCACTTGTATAGTAATCATGCACTGTATACACCTAATGTCAATCATTATTATTTATTTAAATACTGTAAAAAAAAACAAGGAATAATTGTTTTCCTCTAATACAAAATGCAATGAGAAAACATAAACAAGATAGAAAAGGTTTAGTCTATGTGACGGTGATGATAAAGGAGGACAAGAGCTTGTGCCAATTTGGCATTTAGAAGCAGCACACACTGCTCTCTTTGTAATGATTCCTCTTGTTATGGCTTCTTGTGCTTTCCTTCGTGACTTTTATTTCAAGGATATTCGAGGACAGTGATGGAACTTGTGTTCATACTTATAAGATAAAATAGTATCAGTGCTTGCCTAACATCAGTATAGAAGTATAAATCTATTATACAGGTTGTATTGTTAGTAACAGTTTTTTTTTTTCAAGACTGCACATATTTAAGGAACACTTTTGCGTGCTATAAACTGGCTATCTCTTTAAGTGTCACTAGGCAGCTAACAACCAGCTTTTCACTGCATCTGTGTCTTATTTTCTAAGATTTCACCGGTTAATTTAAGGAGAGGCATTTACAGGACAGATATAGATGTTGCATGAAAACTTGTTCCAAGCTGTATTGATCAACTCTTAGCTTGGCACATCATTGCAAAGCTAGACCTAGGAACAACAAATGACTCTTTATATTGATTTTCTGGCCATTATTGTCCTTGAGCACGCACGCACCAGCCTTTCATGTGATGCCACTTGCAAAACACAGCACTGCTTGCAGCCTGAAATCTGAGCTTGTGAAGGAATATAGTATGGCAATTTCATAAATATTTTATTTTCTGCAGTGTGTGGACTAAGCCATTCTCTTTGCAATTCTCCCATAAATGTGTGCGTGTATACATGCAAAATGTTTACTGTAAGAAAAAGTATATTTGGTAAATCTAGCCAATACATTTTAAAGTGCCCATGGGCATAATATGATTATCAAATAATTTGGTAGGCCAGCAAATAACCCAAAATATTTATCTTGGGAGGGAAAATGTGATTGGCCTGTTTGGATTGGGTATAAATTGGAGTTGTCTTTTAGAGGCTTTAACTGTGTGCATGACATGGGCACATCCTCTTAACAAGATGCCATATTCAGAAGTTCTGCTTACAAAATTTTAGTCTTCCAAACACAGGTATGCACAGGAATCTAATGAAACCCTGGAATGTTTTATATAGAATACTGGCACACATACTCTTTCATTGAGTACTTTCTGCATTCTGACTTGAGAGTTGTAATTCATGTATGCATATGGGCTTTGAAGGAAATTATGACAGCAGCATCTTGGAGTAGATGAAGTTGGAGCTGGGTTTATGTTAGCCTCTTCTGTGCTGATTGAGCCTGGAGTGTATTTCCCATGTGTACATCCAGTTAGAGAAAAGGAAGTCATTTCATCAGCAGCATAGAAGGGGTCTCTTTACAGTGTAATCAAATTCTCTGCGAAAAGAGGTGAAGGTTGAGTCATTGCAAATTAATTGAAATTTCAAATGTGATTTTTTTTTTTTTTTTTTTTTTTTTTTTTTTTTAACTAGAATTCATACCTTCAATAATAAGCTTTTATCACTGGAGTTACTGATATAGAGAATGTAAGTCAGTGAAATGTTTATCCAACAATTTAAACATTGAGCAGAGTTAGCCTTACTTTTCAAGTTAAAGTGGAATTAAAAAATCAAACATTCTTACATTAGTCTACCTAATCTGATGTTGGTACCACCCTTGACCTCCAACACCAGATTAGGTAGACTAATGGAGGAATGTTATACAGTCAGGTCCATAAATATTGGGACATGGACACAATTCTAACATTTTTGGCTCATACACCACCACAATGGATTTGAAATTAAATGAACAAGATGTGCTTTAAACTGCAGACTGTCAGCTTTAATTTGAGGGTATTTACATCCAAATCAGGTGAACGGTGTAGGAATTATAACAGTTTGATATGTGCCTCCCACGTCTTAAGGGACCAAAAGTAATGGGACTATTGGCTTCTCAGCTGTTTCCATGGCCAGGTGTGTGTTATTCCCTCATTATCCCAATTACAATGAGCAGATAAAAGGTCCAGAGTTCATTTCAAGTGTGCAATTTGCATTTGGAATCTGTTGCTGTCAACTCTCAAGATGAGATCCAAAGAGCTGTCACTATCAGTGAAGCAAGCCATCATTAGGCTGAAAAAACAAAACAAGCCCATCAGAGAGATAGCAAAAACATTAGGCGTGAAAACAACTGTTTGGAACATTCTTAAAAAGAAGGAATGCACCGGTGAGCTCAGCAACACCAAAAGACCCGGAAGACCACGGAAAACAAACTGTGGTGGATGACCAAAGAATTCTTTCCCTGTTGAAGAAAACACCCTTCACAACAGTTGGCCAGATCAAGAACACTCTCCAGGAGGTAGGTGTATGTGTGTCAAAGTCACCAATCAAGAGAAGACTTCACCAGAGTGAATACAGGGGGTTCACCACAAGATGTAAACCATTGGTGAGCCTCAAAAACAGGAAGGCCAGATTAGAGTTTGCCAAACGACATCTAAAAAAGCCTTCACAGTTCTGGAACAACATCCTATGGACAGATGAGACCAACATCAACTTGTACCAGAGTGATGGGAAGAGAAGAGTATGGAGAAGGAAAGGAACTGCTCATGATCCTAAGCATACCACCTCATCAGTGAAGCATGGTGGTGGTAGTGTCATGGCGTGGGCATGTATGGCTGCCAATGGAACTGGTTCTCTTGTATTTATTGATGATGTGACTGCTGACAAAAAGCAGCAGGATGAATTCTGAAGTGTTTCGGGAATATTATCTGCTCATATTCAGCCAAATGCTTCACAACTCATTGGACGCTGCTCACAATGACCCAAAGCAGACTGCAAAAGCAACCAAAGAGTTTTTTAAGGGAAAGAAATGGAATGTTATGCAATGGCCAAGTCAATCACCTGACCTGAATCCGATTGAGCATGCATTTCACTTGCTGAAGACAAAACTGAAGGGAAAATGCCCCAAGAACAAGCAGGAACTGAAGACAGTTGCAGTAGAGGCCTGGCAGAGCATCACCAGGGATGAAACCCAGTGTCTGGTGATGTCTATGCATTCCAGACTTCAGGCTGTAATTGACTGCAAAGGATTTGCAACCAATTATTAAAAAGTGAAAGTTTGATTTATGATTATTATTCTGTCCCATTACTTTTGGTCCCTTAAACAAGTGGGAGGCACATATGCAAACTGTTGTAATTCCTACACCGTTCACCTGATTTGGATGTAAATACCCTCAAATTAAAGCTGACAGTCTGCAGTTAAAGCACATCTTGTTTGTTTCATTGCAAATCCATTGTGGTGTATAGAGCCAAAAATGTTAGAATTGTGTCCATGTCCCAATATTTATGGACCTGACTGTAAGTCTCCTAACAAATTGTCTTCTCATGTTTTTACTGCATATGATATCATGTCACTAATTGATTTAATATGTTCGTAGACATTAGCTCTGCTCCCCCTGCTTAGGGATGTGGGTTAACATTCTAGGTTTTTATCTTGCTGTTCCCCATACTAAGTTATTTTGGAGTACAGGCCATAGATGTGTAGTTATAGACCATGGGCTATATTATTATTATTATTATTATACAGTATTTATAAAGCGCCAATAGTTCGCTCAGCACTGTACATTGCAAAGGGGGACAGAACATGTGACAGAACAATACCAATACAATGCAAAACATGAGGGGATCGAGGGCCCTGCTCTTTCGAGCTTACAATCTAGGAGGGAGGGGATGGTGGCACAGGAGGAGATAGCTGTGGGGGATGGAATGGTAGGAAGAGTGGAGGAGGTCGGCAAGTTAGCAGGGGGTGGGGTAGGCTTCCCTGAAGAGATGGGTTTTCAGGGTGCGCCTAAAGGAGAGGAGGGTAGGTGATAATCTGATGGGTTGGGGCAGGGAGTTCCAGAGGATGGGAGACACCCTGGAGAAGTCCTGGAGGCGGGCATGGGAGGAGGAGACCAGGGAACTAGAGAGAAGGAGGTCTTGTGAGGAGTGGAGTGTGCGTGTTGGGTGGTACTTGGATGTTAGGTCTGTGATGTAGTTCGGGGCAGTGTGGTGGACAGCTTTGTACGTCAGCGTTAGGATTTTGAATTTGATCCGTTGCGCAATCGGAAGCCAGTGGAGGGATTGGCAGAGGGGGGGTGGCGGAGACAGAGCGGTTGGAAAGGTGAATGAGTATGGCAGCCGTATTCAGGATGGACTGAAGCGGGGATAGCCAGCGGCGAGGCAGGCCAGTGAGGAGGGAGTTGCAGTAGTCGAGTCTTGATATGATGAGGGAGTGGATGAGCTGTTTAGTGGTTTCTGGGGTTAGGAACGTGCGGATTTTGGCGATGTTGCAGAGGTGGAGTCTGCACGAGTTTGTTAAAGATTTGACTTGGGGCTGAAAGGATAGGTTGGAGTCCAGAATAACGCCAAGTACTCTGGCCTGCAGGGCGGGTTTGATGGTAGCGTTGTTGGATGTGACGGAGAAGTCAATGGGGGGTGGTGTCCGGGCTGGGGGGAAGACAAGAAACTCGGTTTTGGAGAGGTTCAATTTAAGGAAGTGGAGTGATATCCAGTCTGATATGTCGCTCAGCAGGTGTGTGATTCGGGCTGAGACCAAGGGGGTGAGGTGGGGGGTTGAGAGATAGATTTGTGTGTCGTCGGCATAGAGCTGGTAGTTGAAGCCATGAGAGTGTATGAGTTGGCCAAGGGAGGAGGTGTAGATGGAGAAGAGAAGGGGCCCGAGGACAGAGCCTTGAGGGACCCCAACAGAGAGGGGGGAGTGAGGGGAAGGTGGTAGCATTATAGGTAACGCTGAAGGAGCGTTGTGACAGGTAGGATGAGAGCCAGGAGAGAGCAGAATCTCTGAAGGCGAGGGAGTGTATGCCACTACCATTAGGTGACTGGACACTGGCAAAAGCTTTGCTAAGAAACCCCCCCAGTGTAGTGTTGTCCAACTAAATCCTGTTTTAATGGCCCTGCAGTCCAGAGGTCCTGCGTTGAAAGAATAACCAAATCACTCATAGTTTCAGAATGTTGATCAGAAGATTAATTTTCTCTGGTGACCATATCCCTTGGTCTGAGAGTGTGTCCAGAACACCTTCTCAGCCCATCACCCCTGGCATCTGGAGTGAAAACCTTCCAGACAAGTGAAAAAAAAGGATTTGCATACTCCAGGGCTGGATTCTTGAGCCACCAGACCAGGACCTACCTGATCTTGGATATCATGCATCTGTTATTGTCCTAGTAATGTGCCTTCTTGTCCTACAGTGCCTTGAAAAAGCATTCATACCCCTTGAAATTTTCCACATTTTGTCATGTTACAACCAAAAATGTAAATGTATTTTATTGGGATTTTATGTGATAGACCAACACAAAGTGGCACATAATTGTGAAGTGAAAGGAAAATGATAAATGGTTTTCATAATGTTTTATAAATAAATATCTGAAACGTGTGGTGTGCATTTGTTTTCAGCCCCCCGAGTCAATACTTTGTAGAACCACCTTTCGCTGCAGTTACAGCTGCAAGTCTTTTTGGGTATATCTCTACCAGCTTTGCATATCTAGAGTGAAATTTTTGCCCATTCTTCCTTGCAAAATAGCTCACACCGCAGGGAACCTTCTTCCATCTGTTATGGGTGTGCCCAGCCATTTAGGGGTATTGGCATCCACAGGGGTGTGCTAATTTTTAAAAAAACTACTTGTTCAAGGGACTAAATCGGGGTCCCAATCTTCTTGTCCCTCATGAAAATCTACTTGTCCTGGTAGAAACATTTTTTTTTAACCAAAGCCGTATATAAATCTGAGGTGCTTTTAGGAATGTCTGGGGTTTTTAAAAATGAAAGGAACTTTATGGCGACTTAAATGGTTAATATTTTTAACATTGCGCGGTTTATTTCCTCCTCACTTACCTGTCTCCAGTACCGCACCCCCAATGAGAAGAAAAAAAGCGTTATTCCTTCAGGTTACCCTCGCACGCAGAAGCACTTGGGTGCTCAGCACAAGTGCATGCTGAGCAGCCAAATCAAACTCCAATGTCCACTCCATTAAAGGATAAGTTTGTCTTAAAAAAAAAAAAAAAAAAAAAAGCCCATTTTTTGCAGGTAAAAAAAATGTACATTTATTTTTTTTCGGAGCCTGGAAAGCTTTGCATCAGCAATCAGTGGATCACTGGTTCAATGCAGGATTCCTGCAGACTGTCAATAGAATCTGTCTGTCCGTACATTGTACGGGCAGGCAGTTTCACACTGGCAGGAAGCGTCAATGAACTACCAGAGCACTCACCAACGCAAAGGATATCCGTACTTGTAGTTGATCCATTCACAGAATTCTGTAAACAGCTGATGCGACTGTGCGGGTGGGGCCCCAAACAGCCGTGCTCTCTTCAAAAAGACACAGTGGGTGCAGGGAACTTCTCCCCGTACTACTGTGACACAGAGGGCTCAGATAGCTGAGCCACTGCAGGAGCAGGAACATGTTACATGTTTCACCCTAAAACCGGGTGGAACATGTAACATGTTCCCAAAGGTAAAATCCTGTATCCCTTTCACTGCCAGAGCCCTTTTTGTATTTTTTTGCACACATTTAAAAAATCATTTTAGGCCTGAAGATTACATAAATCCCAGAAAACATTCTATATTTTCTGAAAGCAGACGCCTAGAGAATAAAATGGTAGTAGTTCCATTTTTTTATCACACAATATTACCGCAATGGTCTAGTAAAAAACACACTTAAGTTAATTTTTAGGATACAAAAAAGGCAATAACTTACCCAATTTTTTGGTACTGAGTAAATGTATACCCAACAGTCAAAACCTTCAATTTGTGTGCGCTCGTGAAATGGCGACAAATGTTAGTACCCTATATTTACTTTAAGGGACGTGTTTAAAGCCAACTATATCTCATCAGTTTAGCATTATGTCGGTCTGGTGCTAGAATTATTGCTCTCATTCTCATGTGCACTGTGATATGTAACAAGTATTGCAATTTATGTTTTCACACATAGGCTCCCAGATGTGTGTGTTTATGTGTGTATGTGTGGGGGTGGGGACCTCAACATTTTTTTCGAGGGGGGGGGGGGGGTTATGTGCTTGGGTGTAACTGTAATGTTTTACAAATATAAAAAATACAATTTTTTGTACTTAACTTTTTTTTTCATCACATAGGGGACAAAAAGTCCTCGATGTGATGATTTTTTGGTGACAGGTTCTCTTTGAGACATCCATGGTCTAAAAGATCGCACTGCATTACATTCCTTCCCAGCTTTGATGGCCAGGAAATCTGTCAATGGGGATCTGAAAGTGACCTCATACACTTTGCCAGGTCAGGACAAATAGGGGAGGAGAGTGGACATGTGTCCTCTCTTCTCCCTCCCCTCTCTACCAGCCGGCACCCGCTATTTCCGACCCAGGCTCGCAGATGGGCAAGCGGAGCCCAGGATAAATAGTGGGGGGCTGGCACTTTAGCACAGTGCCGCCCGATTGCTTCCACCTGATAATTAAATGTTAAAAAAAACTACCTGCCTGGCATCTGCAACTACATGTTCTGGGCATCGGGCGATATAAATTGCACATCCTGCATCAGGTAATTTCTTGCATTATGACATAGGTTTCAAAGTGACTGAAGAGCCCAAGGTCTGTCTCCTGGGTTTATCTAGTAATTCACAATTCAATAAATATACCTTTTTATTTTATTATCAAGAACTTGGATGCAGGACGCACTTTCCACCAATGAGTCCTGACTGTTGCAATTTAATACTTCCCTTTCCCTCAGGAAGTTTATTTGTTTCTTTATTGCCCCCCTCCATTTCCAAGAAATCTAAGCTGGATGGTTATACCAGTTGAATAGTCACTCCGCTGGATGATGTGCTACTGAATCCATGACCCCATCTCATCCCAATTTGGCTACCAACATCACTTTTGTGTTGACTTTATTATTATTGAATTGTTAGTATGGATAATTTCTATTTGTCTAGGAATATGAGACAAAAGAGAAGTGCCATTGGAGGTTTATGGGTTTTTGGGGATTTTTTTAAATTATTATTACTTCATTTATTATTTGTTGTTACCATTACGGATCTTGACAATGCACTAATGCTGCTAAGGCCTTTTGAGACTTAAACATCCCTTAATTTTCAATGTATTTTATATCTCTGTATTCCTATTGTATATTACAGAACCACGTCATTACTCTCTATTTAATACTTCTACCTTATTGCAGTTTTCTCCTCTCCATTTTTTTTCTGTACCCCTTTAATATCCTTGCTTTTTTTTTATTAAAAGGCACCTTGTCTGAGTGTAAAAAGTGTGTAGTCATGTATAATAGTGAATATGCATATGGAAGATTGGACTGCTTTAGTTTTAAATCGCTCTCCATACATATTGTGGGTGTACTGTATCTTCAGTTTTGAGGGCCTGCGTGTGAGATGTGAATAAGATGCTTCACTTGTAGTTTAGGTTTGCATCTTCTGGCCTTGAATGTGTTTTACAGCCAGGAATCTCTCTTTATACATCAAAAATTACTTTTATATGGTTTCTAAAATAAAAATAAAAAAGCACAAACAAGATCCTGAAGCTGAATAAAAGTCTAATATTTAATTTTACTCTTCTAGGCGATAGCATTTCAAGGAGTGATGAACTTAGGAGAAGATGTGAAGAACTGGAAGCTCAGTTAAAGGACAAAGAAACAGAGAACAATGAGTTGTTAAAGGAGTTAGAGCAGAAAAATGCTATGATTATGGTGCTTGAAAATACTATTAAAGAAAGAGAGAAAAAATACTTGGAAGAACTAAAAGTTAAAAGCCATAAATTGAATATGCTGTCCAGTGAACTGGAGCAGAGGGCCAGTACCATTGCTTATCTCACATCACAGCTGCACGCTACCAAAAAGAAGCTGCTCAGTACCAGTGGGGCCCCTGAGGTAGCCCCTCCTGGCAGCCCAGTAACATCTAGTTACAAGCCATCTCCTCCCAAAGAAAAGCAACCAGAGACTCCAAGAAGAAGGATGAAGAAGAGTCTGTCCACACCACTCAATGCTGACTTTGCAGAGGTCTACAGACTAGGTGCTGATGGTCGAAAGATAATGTTGCGTGAACCTGTGGATGCCATGCCAGACCCTACTCCCTTTTTATTGGCAAGACAGTCAGCAGACACTCAGATCATCAAAGAGAGGCCACTTGTCATTCCTCCGATTCGCTCTGACTCAAGTAGCCCGGCTAAAGAGAAGAAGCAGAGGGCCCATGTTGGAGTTGCACATCGAATTCCCCATGCCACCTCTGTTCAGAGTCAGGTTGGACCTCAGCCAGAAGTTGAAACCTTAGCAGTGGATCAAGTCAATTCAAGCAAAGTTGTTAGGAAGCACTCAGGAACTGACAGAACTATTTAAATATATTTATGTAACTATGATGTTAACATCTTAGCAAATAATTGGCTTTTTATGCACTGTGTGATCATATAAGATTAAGATGAATACAGGAGGTAGATTTGATTTTTTTTACATTTTGCTATTATCTTCAATCCCCTGCATGCCAAATGTAAGCAGATTTGCTGATAAAATGCTGCTGTCCTGGGACTCTAATGGCACCACGGAATAAGTGCTGTGACAAGATATCAGCCTATATAAAGCTTGCTCCAGTCTTTTCAACTTCTAGCCAAGTATGTTGACAAAAAAAGCACACACCTGCAAAGTTGCCACTTGTACAATACTGTAACAGAACACACCAATATACTGTAAGTCTGACAAGCTGCATAAGGCTGTTAATACATAATGCTTGATAATTATCTAGTCTGTACACTGTATAACAACGCCTATACTTTATTGGCAGCACTGAAAAGAAAGCAGTTATCTTGTATATGTCTGATTTTATTTAATAATACTCAGTACTCTCACTGATTCCAATGCCGTGTCTATCTTTTAGCGTGTTTAGAGGTTTCTTTTAAGTAAACTATGAACTAATTTGCCAATTAAATCTCTCTTCACTGGTAATGCTCTTCAGGCTTGGTCTTTACATAGCAAATTTCTATAATGGAGAGAATTAAAAAGGAAATCATTTTCTTTTTAACGCTGATCTCTACGCAGTCATACCAACAAACCTCTCTCTGGTTCCCCCTTATAACCTAAATGATTGGGGTTTTTATTATTTACATGCCTTGTCTAATTTTAATTTTTAAGCTTGTGATGTTATTACAGGATTCTAATTTTTCCTTTCTTCAGGAGCAGTCAGTGGGAGGGGTTAGCAGAAAAGTCAAATGAGCCGTGTAGTGGGTAGTTGCATTGGGGGGATGGGTGTGACTTTTTTTTGTGTAACTGCCACCACAAATGCTTTATATGAGGCCATAATTGGAGTATGTTTTTACAGTGAAGGCTCCATCCAACCTTTGTTTCAAGGACCCTGCCGCATCTTTATTGCTAGGCAGTACAACCTTTTTTTTCTCAAGCAGTATAGAGAGACAGGAAGGGACAGCATCAGTTGAGTGGCAGGGAAAAGTTTTAGACCTTGTTCACACCGCCCGTGCATAAGAAGAGATGGGAAAAACACACAGATTTGACCTAGGCTTGTTCACACTATGTGTAGATATGCGTATTTATTATGTAGGTCTCTGCAAGAACACAAAGAAAACAATTGTTTTCTATGTGCCCTGTTCACACCAGAACACTGCTATAATGTGAGCTTTTTTTCTGCGTAGAAATATGTAACAAATTCTCTGTAAAGGCACAAAAATAAACAATTGTTCTTTGTGTGCCCTGTGTGTTGATGTCGCGTGAGTTTTCTTTCTGCAGTAGACTGTATACAGTTTGCAGATTTCCACACAGAAAAAATCCACACGATACAAGTGTTGTGGTGTGCACAGATTACATGGAGAACAATTGTTTTCTTTGTGCTCTTGCAGAAACAAGTGCAGAAAAACTCATGTCTCTACATGTGGTGTGAATGAGGCGTGTGTTGGTTGAGGGACTGCTCAGAAACCTAAGTCCTGCAAGATTATTTCAGGCTGGCCCCTTTTGCAGGTATAGCTAAGTGCCTATACTGTTTTAAATCCAGTAATGCACCATCTGCACATGCTCAGTTGCTTTCTGTTTTTCGGCATTGTCCTGAAATTAAAGAGGCTGATCTGCTGACAGCCTAAAGATTTTCTGCTGCTCAGGAGTCTGGGCTTCAGCAAAATGGCAGCCTCCAACAAGAAGAAAGAGGAGCAATTCTGAAGGTAATTTACAGCACACACTCATTTTTCGTAGCATAATTAATAATACGGAATGCATGTTACTTGCTAAAGAACATTTTTTACCTAGTTGTTATGGGTAAAGTTCCGCTTTAAGAAATAGTGCAGCTTCAGCAACCACCCTGGCCTCTGTCTGTTGTAAACTAGCTATAAGGGGGGTACTGAGAAGATCGGTTGCCCTGCTTATAGGAAGCAGGCATCAGTATCCAGCCAAGGCAGTTTGCTGCAAAGTCTGATATGCTTATTGCAGCTCTCTTGGCCATCCACATCCCTAGAGTGGACCTGTAACAGGCGGGCTTCCTAAACAATCAATGCCTAGACTCGGGAGTGGCCTCTACACTTCAAGATCTTTCCAATTCTATGTTAAAGTTGGGGAAATACAGTTGTGGACATCCTGGCCTCCAGGTTCAACAACAAGCTGAACAAATTTGTAGCCAAGACCATGGATCCTGTAGCCAACACATTAGATTTCTGGTAATTCATTGGTTTTTCAATTTATGCTATCCTCCGACTGCTGTGCAAGATAGAGAAGGATTAGGTTTTGGTCATTCTCATCCTGTCAAGTTGGTTCAGGATATGGTACACAGACTTACTAAGATGTCAGGTGGACAAGCCTTGGTCTCCTCCAAACACAGCAAACTTATAGGTCCAAGCCCCCCTATTCCATCCTGCTCCTTAGTGGCTAGCTTTAACGCCATTACTGTTGATATCCAAGTCCTAAAGGATAGGGGCAGTTCCTACTCAGAGCAAGAGTAAGATTTGCCATCACACATGGAAGGCTTACTATGGCTGGTGTGTAGACAGGAACCTGGACCACTTGTATTTTAAGGAACACAGGGGGTGCTAGACGAAGCATAGCAATGTTAAGTAATGGTTTTATTAAAAGCCAATTGGAAACTTACATTAAAAGGCAATATAAAAGCATATCTAATCTATTGACAGCCGTGGTAGCTAGAAAGCCCAATGTCATCTGCCATGTCTGAGGATGGATGGTAATCTTGTAGCTGGTGGGCTTGTAAATGGATGAGGAAGCACCGAGGGATTAAAGCAGCAACCAGCAGAGAACACAGGAGCCGCTGGACCAGAAATGACATCAGCAGGAAGTCGGGAAAGCCCTGGTCAATGTGGTGGCACATTTCAAAGTATATACTTTTTTGTTAAACATCTGCTGATTTGGCAAAAAGACAAGGACACAAGCCCCTAGGGATGCTAGAGAGTTTTTTGGGTTTTTTTTTACCATTGTCCAATCAACTGAAGGTAGCCTGCATATAACCCCTTGGATTATGGATGCAAGTCCTGTATTCAGTACTGTACTCCCAGAAAAAGAATTTCACAGGTAGGTCAAAATTCCTATTGTTCTGTCTACTGCTTGACAGTAGGTTTAATGTAGGCAGTTCCATCCCTAGAGTATTATGTATTCTAGAACTGATTTTGCCATTGCCATTTTTTTCTATCTACTGTTACAGCTGCATGCTGTATGGTATGATTACTGGAACCTGTAATGCCCAATGAATGTAATTTCAATGCACATAACCTAGAAAGAAAAAAACCTTTCTATTCCCTATATTCTATATGTAAACACTTTTAGACATCATTATTCCAGATTAAATGATATTTTCAAGGAAACTGGAAATTCACTATTTGTGGCAACATATTAACACAGAAGGGGTCTGGTTGCTTAACTGCAACTAGAGATAAATATTATATAAACCCAACATTTCATACTCCTGATATGTGCCTGCTGTACCATGTACTTGTATGAAAAATTATTTTGTTCTTTTTGTATTGCTTCCTTTGTGTGAAATCCCTGGTGTTCCTGCTAGCTCCTCTGCTTTCTTATTAAAAAAAAATCTAACCACACTAGGCAGAGAGAACAGTGTGGTCAGTTTTCTAGCAGTGCTAGGGACTCAGCCTGCTTTCCTCCAATGATGATCAGACTTCTGCTCACCCCAACCCCCCCCCCCCCCCTTCCTTCCTGTGTACAGCCATTCACTGGGAATCTCAGTGTACTGCTGTTCCTCCTTCCCTAGCTCTCTGTTCTCAGCTGTATAAGGAGCGTAGAGGGTGTGCGTTCACTTATAACAGAGAAAAGAGGTCTTTATAATTTTTTTTAAATTTATACATAAATGTTTTGCCTTTCATTTCTATTTTAAACTGAATGGGCTTTTTTTTACAAGGTTAGGGTTTACCTATACTTTAAAGTGAGACTAAACCTATTGATTGAATGGTTTCTCAAAGCAGTAACATTCAAGGCATGCCATGAATGATAACTGTCATGGAAGCTTTACACTCCTAACTAAATTATCAAGCCATCAAATGGCTGGAGTCATAACTGATCACATGCATCATCATGGCAACTGCAGATCACACAAAGGCTAAGATGGCAGCTGCCTTGGCTGTAAATGGTAGGAGGGTTACGTTCTGCTTTAAGATGTCCACAAATTACCTGCAAGGACCACTGTTTAATACAGTACTGAGATGCAGCCATAAGAATACAGCATATTTCTCTGTGTTTACTGCTCCAGGAGCCACACGCCAAAAATGCTAAAGAAAAGTTCAGATAAGATATGACACTCTATGGACACTATTATGGTATCAAAAACAGCAACAAGATGAGGGTCTCAGTGTGTTTATACTAAAGATTTTGGGAAGTAAGGCCCCATCCAGGGTTACTAAAGAGAGATGCAGGCAAATGATGCTTGGTGGAAAAGTAACCAAAAGCAGCTAGTGCGAGCTCAATTTCTTGAAGTCAGACCAGGATTCTGATTGGTTGCTGCAGGTACTGCACTAGAATACATCTTAAACCCTTTTATCTTCATCACTAGAAAACATTTTCTCTTGGTCCAATGGAGAGGGAAATCTCTATCTCAGCTTGCAGCTGGTACTATCATAAGTATTGTGTACAGAGCCAAGGCAGGAGGGGCAGCTGTCCTGGGTGCAGTGTTTTCATGTGTGTGAGGATGGAGCAACATGGCAAGCTGTACTCTTCTTAATACATACAGTCCATGTCCTCAGTGACATCACAAGGGCCCGGCACCTGGGGAACGTGTCCTGCATCTAATTCTCTGTGCCTCTAATCCTGAAGTTGCAACTAGCCTACCACTTCAACTGCTGTATTGCTGCCCTCTGCCTGCCAAATGAATTGTGACCATGTCCTTTTCACAATATCTTACACACAATCAGCTAGATGGGTCTTTGTTTGGGAGATGCCCCCCCCCCCCCCCCCAATCCTGCTTATAAGTGTTTTCTCCTGACAGAAGCAGGCCCCCAAAATAGGCACTTCCACCAGACTCAAATTTATAGCTGGAAACCTGCTGCCAACATTTAACCATCTGTCTACGTGGTTGCCCGCTAACATCAAAAAGATGCTTTTGAGGAGGAGCAGCAAGGTTGACGATCAGGGCAATAAAGGGGGCACACTGACCACCAAGGGGACACACCAAGCTCTAATTACCAATATAAGATGATGCACTGAGCACCAAGGCAAGAGGATAAAAAAAGGATATGCATTGAGCATCCATGTGAGGAAACACTAAGTACTGACCCCCCCCACATGTAAAGGGGCACCCTGGGAATTGACCACCAATCTGGCACACACTGAGCACTGACTGTTAATGTAAGGGGGTAAACTGCACACTGACCAGCCATTAAAGGAATACACTGAGTGCTGACTACCCATGTTATGGTTTACACTAAGCACTGACCACCGATAAAAGGGGCATGCTGAGAACTAATAGTCTAAGGGAGTGCACTGAGTACTGACCAGCAATGAGGGAGGACACACTGAGTGCCAATGTAAGAGTGTACATTATACACTGAAAACCAATAAAGGGGGCACACCAAGCACTGACCAACAGTTTAACAGGGGCACATTGAAGGCAGCACACTGACCACCAGCATAAGGGGTGACTTACTCCTGACCACTGCACTCTAAAAAGTCTGCTGTGCAATTACATTGTCCTAAGCCCTGCTGTTTGTTACTGAAATACTGTATATTGTATATTAACATAGTACTAACTGATGCACTGCATACTCTACATAATCCTAACTGCTGCACTCTATATGCCATGTTGTATGTTACCCGATTTCTGCACTCCATTCTACATAGCCATGACCCCTGTACTCGGTTTACTATTTTGTACATTACATTGACATGACCCCTGCACCCTGTGCTTTGCATTCTATATGTTGTTTTGTATGTTTCACAAAAAAGGGGGCACACTAACCATACAGTCATGACTGCTATACATAATAGACCATGTTTTATGTTACATAGTCTCCTGGGCACCTCGGGCCTTTCACATTCCTAGCCCCTGGTACCTTGCCTTTCATTTTGCCTATTCACAGTCAGCACATGGGGACCAGCAGAGGCAGAGATCACACAGCAGGAAGGCTCCTGGATGTCACTGCATACATACTGTCCATGTAAAACCACTGGTGGACACGAATGCTGAGACAAGCATGGTGGCAGCTAGGAGTAGAATCCCAGTAGCAGAAGATATTCAGGCTCACACAGACTTGTGGGGTAGGTGCACAGTTTGCCATTTTCATGCTGGGCACTGGAAGACGATGTTACAGCACAGATTTTATAAATAAAAAGAAAAAACTGCCAATGCATTTTCCTCAATAAGAAACATATAGTCTAAACAATAGAAATGTCAGAACAGAGGGTTCCTCATGGTTGCAGTAGATGGAAGGGAAGGATTTAAGCGAGTTTTGCACTCATATGACAGAAGCTGTAGTCCATACCTAGAATGAAGCTAAGGTTTGGGCCACAATTTATACTTGTACCATTCTTCAACGCTTAGAAAACACACCAGATTCTGCTCCTAATTTCAAAAACGGTGCAAGTCCTTTTGTTAAAAAGAAGTGATCTGTTCCGTGTTCTGTATTGTGTCTGTGACAGACATGGCACAGAAAGCTGTTTTGTTAATGGGGTGCACACAACTCACGCTAGTTTCCTACACCATCATTATTGAATATCAAGTTCTTCCAAATACATACGATAAATAAGTATAAAATATTCAATCATGTGTTGTTTTTTATTTATTTTAAGTACATATATCCATATATATATAAATGTATTAGGTTTTACAAGTAAGCAATGAAAATGTAAAAATCTCAATATTTACATTTATATAAATCTAATCAGAGTTGAGAGTGAGGCACACGCCTTGTAATACCCAGTGTGATATATGTTTTGTGGTGTACAGATCAGCCTCAAATACCAATCCTACTCCCATTGCGTTTCTCCTCATGGAAGTGGTGTACACTGGTGTCCGGAATGTGTTCTGCAAAAGACAAAACAATTATGAGAATAATCTGTACCGATATATTATTGAATGGCACTGAACCAATATATGCTAGAATATTAAAGCACACTTGAGAGCATATGCATAAAGTGAATATACTGTATTTAACAAATATTCACAGGTGGTTAATCATGCCCTGTAAGTTAAAACAAATGCGCCAGGAGGATTCACTTGCAGTGAATATTTGATGAATGTCAAATTCTCTGCTTTAAAAAAAATATACCCATATTACTAGAGAAATGACTTGCTGTGAAAGAGAAAGCTAGGAGAAGTAGACAATGTACTGGACTACTCCAGTAATGAGGGTTTTAAAGCAATTTGCAAGTATCATATTTAGGACTTAACTGTGAACATGACAGTCTGCAGGAATATGTTGGTATGGTTGGCACAACAGTCACTCAGAATTTTCTAGCACCAAAGTGACGCCAAACCCTGATGTGGCAAATATGCCCACCAAACAAAACAAATCCGGCGCTAAGAGTGCCAACTTAAAAAACCCAAAAAGACAATTCTGACAGCAGCACTCAGCACTACCCACACACAGGATGATAAATACCATTAAATTATAAAAATGTATTGTGCTGTCAAACAGATGAATACAGTTATACAAAGTGCAGGACAATAAAGTGAATAAATAATTAAAAAAACCCCAAGTGCATTTATATATACAACTATGAACAGATATTAAAAAATTCAATAAGTTCATAATCAAAAGTCCAACAGAAATAAAGTGCACCAACAAAGACCTCTCAGTGAGAAAGTGCATTCACATGAACAAGAAAGCAGCCAGGAATCATGTACACAAAGCTCCTCTTCTATATCACCAAACCACTAGCGACACCAACGCTGCTTACCAAAAAGTTAGACCTCAAATGACAGGAGGTCTAACAGTGTTTGTAAAGAGAAATCCTCAAGACAAATGGCTGGAGGAATGGGTGATTAGCCTCCTATTCCACAGTCTGCTGCCTAACACCACTGCTCTACAATTGATCATATCAAAAGCAATCCATTGATCAGGAATGGCACAAATATTACATAAAAGAGGAAGGAGAATTGCCCATAGTGTAGCATTAAAAGCATCTTTATTTAAAACTTGGTATCTACTCATATTTGGATAAAACAAGCCAGCATATCACAAACAATGCATCCAGCACCCCGGCAGGTCATGATAACATCACTGCTGTAACCCAGTCAGTGGAACTACAGCGGAGACGTCACCATGCCTGCCAGGGTGCTGGATGCTTTGTTTGTGATATGCTGTCTTGTTTAATCTCAATGTGAATAGATACCTAGTTTTTAATAAATGTGCTTTTATTGCTATGGGCGATTCTCCTTCCTCTTTTATGTAACATTTGTGGCATAATGATTGATGGATTGCCTTCTGGTGGTGTAGGTGGCAAACTGCGGGATCGGAGGCTGATCACCTGTCCATCCATTCATCTGTCTTGAGGATTTCTCTTTACTAACACTGTTAGACCTCCTCTCATTTAACTTTCTGGTAAGCAGCTTTGGTGTCACTGGTGGTTTGGTGCACAGAGGTGATATAAAAGGGGAGCTTTGTGTACATGATTCCTGGCTGCTTTCTTGTTCATGTGAATGCACTTTCTCACTTAGAGGACTTTGTTGATGCACTTTGTTTCTGATGGATTTTTTGATTATGAACTTTTTGAATATCTGTTCACAGTTGTACATCTAAATGCACTTGAGGTTTTTAATTATTTGTCATGCACTTTGTATGAATTAATGAATGTATTTCATTCATCTGACAGCACAACACATTTTTTATAGAAATATGCCCACCAGATCTTCCAGTTTTTCACTATGTGTATAACAAACCACATAGTGACAGTGTACATACACTGGACATCTATGGCAACCAGCAGATTAGTAGAGAGTAGGACAATTCAGGACACAGCAATTTAAATACACATGAGAAAGTGGAAGAAATGCACAGCAAATGTACCAAGGTAAAAAATGGTAAAAGGAGATTGTGGATTTGAACACTACATACCTGTAATTTGAGGCGATGAGCTTCGATCGGAATAACCTTTAATACAGGCAACTCCACGACAAGTACTTTGGGTTTACTTTTAACTAAACACGAATTTTCTATGTCCCAGTCAGCTCCCTCAAGGTACAAGCCTGATATGAAGCATCCTGCACAAATATTGAAAGGGTTTAAGTTACACATCTTCTACATTGTTTGCATTTACATAATACAAAAATAGGATTTTTCTGTTCACCCTTGAGGTGATTGTAGCCGTATTAGTGCATTTGCGACAGAAACAATTGAGTACTGTCTGTGATACTTTTTTTTTTTGCCCTGACATACAATTTTGAGGATGGGCTTTCGGGGAGTGTCCCTTTCTTCAAGGTCCAAACAGTACTATACAAATCACAAAGTTTTAGCAGAATGTTAGAAAACATGAAAAAAAAAAAGGAAAAAAAAGAGGCTAGAGATAAGAAACAGCAAAAGCAAAGGGGGTAGGGGGAGAGGGGGAAAGACAACACTCACACAGAGGGAGTCAAGCTTGAGCTGATAAGCTGATAGTCATAAAACTGTCGGATAATGAGTGAGGAATCAAATGTCCAAAATTCAGGCCGTTATCTCTTGTGTCAAATAGAATTATCATTCTTAGTTCAAAAGTATTTCTTTCCTGAATGGATTTGAAATTTCCTTTAAGAACTAAAATATTGAGGTCTTCCATAGTGTGGTCTGGTTGTGCGAAATTGTGTCCCACAGATGTGCAGAGGTCATCTTCTTTATGTTCCTTGATGGTATGTCTGTGCAAATTCATCCTTGTTTGCAACTTCTGTCCTGTTTCGCTAATATAAGATCCTTTGCTGCATTTTCTGCACTGGATAAGGTACACAACATTACTAGAGGTGCAGCTGTATGATCCGGAAATATTGAAGATCCCTTTTGAGTGTCTGACACTCTTTGATGGATTGATTTGCTTGCACAGTTTGTAGCGTTTTTTTATTGCAGGGTTTGCGTCCGTTATTTATGACATCTTGATCAGTAGGAAGTTTTTCCTACTGATTAGTTTTATTTCTGAGGTTGGGGGGTCTATCTCTGTCTCTTGGGTCAGAACATATTCAGTGGTATCTAATGGCCTGACTGTGTATGATGGCACGTTTCGTGTGTTGGGGTGAAAGCTGGAACTGTGGAGGTAGTTGCATCTGTCAGTGGGTTTCCTGTATATTGAGGTGTGAAGCGTATCATCCCTGATGTATACTGTGGTGTCTAGGAAGTTGACGTGTGTTTGAGTATTCCATTTTTAGTTTGATTCATGGATGAAAAGTGTTGATCAATGAGTAAAATTGTTTTAGGTTTTCTTCACCTTCTGTCCATATGATGAAAATATGACTAATATAGCGATAGTATCTGTATGGTTTTTGTTCCATGCTGTTCAGGAATTTTTCCTCCAGGTCAGCCATAAATAAATTGGCATATTGGGGTGCCATTTTACTTCCCATCGCAGTACCCATACATTGAAGATAGATGTCTTTATTGAAGGCAAAGTAGTTGTGTGTAAGTATGAATTCAATGAGCTGTGTAACATCCTCAGCAGTGTATTTGTTGTTTGGTGAGGATGATAAGGATCTGTGACATGCAGCTAATCCATCCTTGTGAGGGATATTGCTATACAGGGATACTACATCCATAGTCACTAGAAGTGTATTAGATGGTAATGACTGTATGTTGTTGATCTTGTTCAGAAAGTCAGTTGTGTCTTGCAGGAAACTAGCAGTATTCATGACTAACGGTTTTAAAATATTTTCTACAAAGCCTGAGATTTGTTCGGTGAGTGTATTCATACCTGTTATGATGGGTCTGCCTGGATTTCCTAGCTTGTGGATTTTGGACAGCATGTAGAAGTCCCCGATTTCTGGATGATCAGGAATCACATTTATAAGTTCTGAATGTAGGTGGGATGGAAGTGTTTTAATGAGGCCTTTTAATTGCTTTGTAAAGTCCTGGGTTGGATCATAATCCAGTTTCTTATAGTAGATGGCATTTTTCCAGCTGCCTCTGGCCTTCTTGTATGTATTTGTTTGTATCCATCACAACAACTGCTCCCCCTTTATCCGCTGGTTTTATGGTGATGGCCTGATTATTGCGCAAATCGTGTATAGCCCATTGTTCTAGTGGTGAAAGATTGTACACAATTTTCTTTTGCTGGGTGGATATCAGGGATGTAGCTCGCTATCAATATAGGTATCCAATTTGGGGTTGCGTCCTTATGGAGGTGTGAAGCAGCTGTTCTTTTTCTTTGTGTAGCACTCCATTGTCCTAGGATTCCTTTCATTATTGTGGAAATATTCTTTGAGCCTTAGTCTCCTGAAGAAATCCTCCATATCTGACAATAATTGTAAATGATCCAATTTGGTGGTTGGGCAGAATGTAAGGCCTTTGGAGAGGATGGTTAATTCAGGTTCAGAAAGTTTATGATTTGACAAGTTGATGATTCCAAGTTCCTCTGTTATATCCACATTTTCAGTCAGGTCAGCATTTACACAAGGGATACCTTGGGATTCCGGATTAGATTCCAGGTCACTGATAGTAGGAGGTATAGATGTTGGGTTGCTTTTATGTTTAGGTTGTATCCAAAAGGTCTGCTCTTGGTGTAACTTCTGAAGTTTTTTTTGTTTCCCATGGAATCCCTCGGAAGAAGTCATTGGACGAAAAGTGTCAGGGTGTGGCCTTCCTGTGACATCACTACTCATGCTGATGCACGTGTCCGGATCACGTGATCGCACTACTACCATCTTGAATGCGGGCTGGCTGGTGAGACACAGGATGCAGAGACTGGAGCTCTGATATAACAAAACGCCTTGTTTTTATTTGCTCATTGTGAGTGTGATTTTAAGGGGAGTTTGTTTGGCAATAAATTTGTTGGATGATACTACACTATGGCGAGTATTTTCTTTACCCACATGTGCTAATCTGGATATGAGAGGATCTTCTCTGGAGTTTGTTTGGTGATATGCTGGATACACAGTAGTATGCTGAGTAATTACCAACACATGAGGATCGTCCTTTGAAGTCTGTTTGGTGAATGCTGGATATATACTGACATGCTGGTTAATTACTAGCACATGGTGAGTGTGCATTTTGATGGGGTGTTTTTGAGCACTGAATACCACATTGCTTATGAAGGAGGATCTCATTACGTCATTTACTGAGGATCATGTTTATATGGACTTTTCTGAATGGACTATATTGAGATTCCCTATTGATTTTTTTGTTTGCACTATTAATATGCACTTATTTGGTGGTGGTTATATTTAGTTGTGTGATTTGGTTTGCGCTATTATTTGTGATTTGTATATTTTTTCACATTTTTATTATTATTTTGAGTTTTTAATAATAGCAGCATCCAGTGAGTGTATTTCCTCTCTTTATTACATTGGCGCAATGATGTTGGTATAATAGAAGTGTTGAATTTATTGGAACATTTCTTTGGTAACTAACTTTTTAGTGATTTAACAGTACTGATTGGCATATTCATGGCTTTGGACATCTTTTTATGTCCTTTTCCATCTTTATAAAGTTTCATTATCTTGTTACGCAGGACGTTTGACAGTTCTTTTCTGATCCCCATGGCTCAGTATCTAGCCTAGTCAGTGCTTCCACATAAGAGCTAACAAACTCATTGACTATTTATACACTGACACTAATTGCAATATAAAAAGCCACAGATGTGGGACATTAACTTCTAACTGGCATTTTAACCCGTGTGTGTCACCTTGTGTGTCTGTACCAAGGCCAAACATTCCAGGGTATGTACACTTTTGATCAGGGCAATTTGGGTGATTTCTGTTATTATGATTTAAAAAGGAGCCAAACAACTATTTGATAATAAATGGCATATATTATCATATGATCATCATCCTTCAATAAAAGAGAATTTTTTGGCATGATCAGTCATATTTTCAATATCAATGCCAAAATTTCACAATTTCTGCCAGGGTATGCAAACGTTTGAGCACAACTGTATACATTACATTTATACTGAAATGACTAGCTTCAGGTGATACACAAAGATGAAACAAATCCTCCTACAGAAGTTGTACCTGTTTATCTACAGTTTTCTCTTCTCTGCATCCATTTAAATTCCAGAATTTACAGAGCTTTTTTGAGCTTTCAGAGGCAGGGGGCAGGGATCTGATGTCACATACCGCACAGCTCCGAGAGGAGAGCTGAGTGCAAGCTGAGACATGTGTATAGGATGCACCCCTCTCTACACAATCTCATTGGGAAATATGCACAACTGAGGCTATCAACCTCAGTGCTAGAGATCCCATCCCCCTCTATCTCTTGGAGTCATTACAGTCTGTCAGAAACAACTCATGCAGATAGCAGAAGAACAAGGCTGCAGATACAAGTCACACTCAGTGCTTTGGATTGAGGCAGGAATATACTATAGAAGAATATACTTTGTTAATTTTTCATGTCAGAGGTTTACAACCACTTTAAAGAAGGAGCAGGACTCTTCAAGTGGCCAGCTTTTAAACTTAAATAAAGCACAGCCCAAGAATTAAAGAGGGGGACTTTCCCATGTGGCAAGTATGCAAAATTACAGAAAGTGTAAAGCAAGCCCAGTAGTAAAAAAAAAAAAAAAAGGTAATATTCTCACAAAATGGCCCTTCAGCTACAGCCGTTTCTGGAGCAATACCATACACGTGGCCTTTAAAAGGACTAACCCTGTCCAGGTCTTTCAGTCACTTCTTCAGCTGTACGAAACTTGGTAACCTGAGTGTACAGTGTGGAACGGTCAAGTGGCCAGCCATTCTTCCTGCAGGTGGCTTGGACAAGAGCAGTCAGGTAGGATTCTGGGATATGTAGACCTGACAGCCACATGACATTTGGCTCTCCTTCAGTAACCTGACACAAAAAAAAAAAAGTATCCACCAATGAAACTCTTTGCATACAAGAAAAACAGCTTTTAATTAAAAAAACAGAACATACTTTAACCTCTTCCCCGCCACCCTATAGCAGAAAATACTGCTACAGGGCTGCACAAAATCACGCATATATACGTGATCTGCATTTCCCGGGTAGGGGTAGCTACAGATGTCAATCACCAGGTCCCAGCCAGAGATTCGCTGCTGACCCCCAGTGATCTCCGAGTAACACTGGCAGGGGGTCTCCGTCCTGTCAGCAGTATAATGCTGCTGTATATTTCTCTGCACAACATGTTTCCCAAGTAAAACACACACAGCACATGTAAAACACATCACAGCACACAGTTAATGCATTGATCACCCCAGATGTTAACCCTTTCCTGCCCAGTATCATTAGCACTGATCACTGTATTAGTGTCATTGGTATGTCAGTGGCAGTTAGTTCCCACCCAGTGTGAGAACGCCCAACGCAGTCCCGCTCTAAGTCGCTGATCGCCGCCATTACTAGTATAAAAAAATAAAAAATTCCAGTATATATACCGCCATTTGTAGATGCTATAACTTTCATGTAAAACAAATAATTTACACGTATTGGGATTTTTTATTAGCAAAGATTGTAACAGAATACATTTTGGCCTACATTTATGACAGAAATAGATTTTTTACATTTAGTTACTGGATATGTTTTATAGCAAAAACTCAAAAACATTGTTTTTTTTTTTTCAAAATTGGCAGTTTTTTTTGTTTATAGCACATAAATTAAAAATACAGAGGCAATCAAATACCACCAAAAGAAAGCTCTATTTGTAGGGAAAAAAATTATGTAAATTTCATTTGGGTGATGCGTTGCATGACCACACAATTGTCAGTTAAAGTAACGCAGCACTGTATCGCAAAAAATGGCCTGGTCAGGAACGGGGGTAAATCCACTGAAGTGCAAGTGGTTAAAAAAGAATAGTTATGCTTTAACCACTTCAAGACCGGACACTTTTACCCCCTTCCTGTCCAGGGCAATTTTCAGCTTTCAGCGCTATCACACTTTGAATGACAATTGCGCGGGTCATGCAACACTGTACCCAAATGAATTTTTTACCATTTTTTTGAGACAGATAAAGCTTTATTTTGGTGGTATTTATTCACCGCTGGGATTTTTATTTTTTTTGCTATGTAAATGAAAACTTAAAAATTTTTGAAAAAAAGTGTATTATTTTGCAAATAAATATTTCATCATAAATCTTGGCCAAAATTTATTCCGTTATCTTTTTAGTAAAAAAAAAAATCCAAATTAGTTTATAACCAAAAATTATAATTTTTAAAAAAAATTTTTACATTTTTATTTTATTTTTTTATATTATTATTTTTTATTTTACGTACTGTCACCCTAGCAGTACAGTGTCACCATGGTGACACTGTACTACTTGTGGGGGGTGATGAAGATTTTTTTTTTTTTTTTACACTGATTGCTTTTACACCCATATAGGATGTAAAAGCAATCATTTCTCTTTCTCTCTGTCTGCATTCCTGCAGCCATTGAGAAGTACTGAGTGAGCTGTGATTGGTCACAGCTTGTCACATGGTACAAGGCTGTTGTGAATAGCCTTGTACCATGTGACCTCTGTGATCATTCACAGATTTCACACGTAGTAAGCAATGATGTCACAAGTGACATCTTGCTTACTACTCTGCGTGTGATCACTGATTGGCCAATCAGTGATCACATGATTGGGACCTCACACAGAGGTTCTGTCTGACGATCGGTGTTTCACTGTGTCCGGAGGACACAGCGGGCACCGGCTCGCGGTGCTGCGCGCTCCCAGGAAGTGCGCACAAGCAGGGTGCGGGGAGGCCGTTTATAAACAGCCACCCGACCCTGCAGTGCCACCGTCTGGCCGTTTATATGCAAAGGCCGGTCGGGAAGTGGTTAACCATCTAGAACAAGCTTTACACATTGTCGAAGTACGGTATTGTCTGGTATTAAGTTTTTGTAAACCACCAAACACCGTGCATTTAGTCTAGAAAAGAAACTTTGATGCTGGTCTACAAAGACATCTAGGCTGGGATACATTGAAGCTGCACTGTTAAAATAATTCAGATCTGTACTGCATAAGCTGCATATATTACCCATGATGTGTACTGATTGTAGCGTCTTCTGAAATGAATCATCCAGTTTCCCAAAGACTTCAGTGTATCAGGAGCCAGTCTTCTCCATATGTTTGGAATCTGACCATTAAAAAGTGCTCGAGCTACTTCATCTAACTCATTGCTCATTCCAACTTCCCCAGCCAAAGCCTACAGATATAACAAAACACTGTAATTATATATGCACACAGTTGTTTAAAAAGTTATCTACTGTATATAATATTGCCATAATCAAAAATCATCAGAATAACTTAAAATATAGTATAGCTGAAGCTGTAATACAGGGGTGTCCAACCTGCGGCCCAAGATGGCTATGAATGCGGCCCAGCACAAAATTGTAAACTTACTTAAAAATACAGATTTTTTTTGGGGGGGGGGGGGATTTTTTTTTTGTAAAAATGCATTTACACTCAGCACACATGCAGCCGAAAAAAAATTTGACAGGGTCTCTTTACTGGACTAAAGGTGTTACTAAACCCAGGACCCTGCATCCACTGTACCTGGTGTCACGCAGTACACAGAACAGTAAATATAAACTGCTAAATACCTTTGCTCAGCAGCAGTTACAGCAGTCTTGTGACTTCTATCAGTGTCCACTAGAGCTTGTAGGAGGAGTTTTCATTCTCCTGTAGGAGGATGCAGGACCCCTGACCTCTGTCTGGTGAGTTCTGATTAGTCCTGTTCTGATCACATGCACTCTCCAAAGAAAAAAAAACTCTCTAGCCATACACACACCAAACTGAGCATATACAGCTTGCCCCCAAGCCTCTGTTCTATCAGGAAATATTTGGGAGACACTGGAAGAAGGGGAGGATCAGAGAAAACAGGATAAAACATCCTTCTTACACAATGCAGAGGATTAACCCCTTGGGTTCCACAGTGAGTATAACAAACATGCTTTACTGCATATACAGGCTGATTTTACTGCTGTGGGTTTAGTAACACCTTAAGTTTTATCTTCCCAAAGAAAAATCTCCACTCTTCACAATCATGCCTTCTTCATGTCATCAGTTTTTGGCAGCACCTTTACTTGTAAGCAACTATTTTCAAGGATGAAGCACACACAGGGCAAAATTAGAACCAAAATATCTGATGACCACCATGAGATTTTATTGAGAATTGCTACTACATCCATCGAACCAGATATTGTTGCGTTAGTTTATCAAAAACAGGGTCAAAATATTGCACTAGTTCTAAGTTGACCTCTTATATAATGAAAAAATATTAGAAAAAATGAAAAAAAAAGTATATTGTCTATATCGGTGATCGTTAACTTGTGATCTGCCTGACTTTTTCTGTTCATCAACTATCCCTATTGTTAGTGTATTTTATGTGTGGCCCAAGACAATTCCTGTTTTTCCAATGTGGCCAAAGAAAGTCAAAAGGTTGGACACCCCTGGTGTAACAGGAGAGTGTGAATCAGGAACAGTAAAGGAAGGCAGACTCCAATGCCGCCTCATCACTCACCCTCTGAAGTTCAGCAAGAGACCTGGACATAGAACTTATCAGTTTGTTAAATCTCTCCAGTTCCTGCAGCAGCACCACTGTGGTGGGTGAGATGTCCAGGCCAAAATTCTTTCTAATTTGATCCAAATCAAATATTTGGGGTAGTTTGTTTTCAATGTCTTTTGCCACCTGCCCAATGTACTCATCACGGCTGATCCCCAAGCCAGATTCACCTGCAAGAATGAGTCAGTGTTTAACATTGTGATATTGTCAGAATGTATTTCACAAACTAAATTATATATGGTGTCTGCACAGTTTATACCGGCACTTTTTTGTTTTTAGGTATAATATGATAACCCTTTATTTGGGAGCACCTTAAAATCAGCATTTGTTGTTAATCTTCAAACATTCATTCAGGATATCGATCTTTCATAACTGCTGTAAACATAATTAAAGGAAAGCACATGTAAAAATCCATAAGCAGTTCCAGTTCAGTTACCTGTTTGTGGCTGCAGCTCCAGGAGGTGAGACCACATATCCCGAGCTGCTTGCGTGTAATATCCAATTTCAGCATTTGAGTGAAGGCCAAATACTTCTGGGGTGTTGGCCAGTGGAAGGGACTCTATCTCCTCTGTTAAATAAATAAATGTGAAAGTAATTTTACTGCATGACAGATATACATTTCAACAAAAAGACATACCAGATCAAAATGCCCTTTACACAACATAAGTCTGCAAATTAATATACACACTTAAAGCAAATGAGCTTCCTCTGCAGTCCATAATCCTTACAGAGCAGAGCATGTTTATATGGGTCTATTGATCTGCAATACCTGTGTCAGGGCCGGATTAGGGTGAAGGCTATTGGAGCTGCAGAACCAGGCCCCTATCTTAATATAAGCCCAGCCGCCGAAAAAAAAAAAAGAGGACATGCACACAAAGCAATGGGCCCAGGGTCGCCAATAAGGGGGGTACCACCTGTCCTCCTGCACACAGGGGGGTACAGGCAGCAGGGGGAATTGGATGTGGGCAGGACAGGGAGGATGATTGGTACCATGGCAATTACAGGAACGATGCCCTGTACGGCTCTCTGCAGCAGCTGAAAGTTAGTTTCTCCCCCTCTGCCTCCTGCTGGCTTTCAGCTGCTGGAGGGAGAAACACACAGGGCATTGTTCCTGTATTTGCTCCCCACAGTACTGATCCCCCTTCTCTGTCTTGCCCACATCTGATTCCCCCTGCAGGCTGCTGAGTGTGCCCCCCTCCTCCAGGAGCACTGCCAGCTTTCCTCTCTTGCCAGCTATTTGTTCAGGATGGAGAGCGGGGGAAGGGGCCAGTAAGTGTATCATTTACTGACCCTTCCATTTAGTGAATGAACACAGTGAGTAATCAATCACTCACTGTGTTCATTTATATCTGAAGCACAGTAAACTGTCTTTACTATGCTTCAGTTTAGGAATAGACAGAAGCCTCTGTCTACTGTTCATTCATCTGCAGTGCAGCTGAGGCTGCATAGAAAGGAATTGAAGAATCTGTGTTCTCAATTCCTTTCTTTGTCTCAAAGGTGATATGTCAGGGGTCTGTTTAGAACCCTGATATTTCACCCAAGCCCCCCCCCCCTCCAAATGCATTGTAAAAGAAATTGTAAAAAAACTAATTTTAAAAAAATGTGCAAAATAACAAATTGTAAAAATAAATTTTAAAAAATTGTAAACAATAATTAAAAAAATTAAAGGCTCATTTGCACGAGTTCACTGGCCCATACAGTGCGAATAAGCAGTTTGTGCGGCTGAAGCCGCCTGTCCCTCAATAAGGATGCAGGTCCTAATTTTACAAGTGTACAGGTGTAGGTGAGTGGCCCTGAATACAAACTGTCTGTGTTTAGGGTCATACACCTGTATTCGCATGCCTGTCAAATATGGGCCTGCAGCTGTGTTCATACAACTGCTGCATCCCCATAGCGTAACATAGACTGCTTGCACACAGCAATATGTAGGCAGGTGCAGCCTTCTTTCTCCACTGTAGGTAGCACTCAACTGGAGCGGTACTGCAGCCGGAGAGAAAGTCAGGAGAAACCTGGTTTCTCTATGGTTTCCTGGTCCCCTGAGGCAGTGTACTGGTTGGCTATGATGCATTCAGGTGACCCCTGGTGACAATTTTGGGTCTGCAGAGTTATTTTTAAGTCCCTGCCCATGGTTTTGGCATGCATTTGTGATGTGGCTAGAGTAGGGAAAGAGAACTTTTCTGTTAGGAAAAGTGATTAGTGGCAGGGAGAGGTTTCCAGATGAGTAGGGAGAAGCTAGGGATGTGTTATCCTTCATCGGAAGCCTCCCCCATTGGGACTGGACCAACCAGGCTGCATTCCACCCTCTAAGAAAGACACTGCCGATGCATCTTCTGCCGCTGTATTCCTGTTCTGCACAGAACTGTGAGTGATCCCCAGTGTGGCATTCTCCCACTGGGTTGTTTCTGAGTTGAACCTTCTTGTCAATACACATTGAGTTTCCTGCAACTGGACTCTGTGTCATTACTGCCGCAGCACCTCACTGCACCTACCCATACTTGGTGGCAGTCGGCAAGATATGTCCCTTGCAGCGGGTGCGGAAGGAGGATTGGGCTCCATTATTGCTCTGCTAGGATCGGCCTTAGCCCCGGTACCTAAAGTTAATGGCTCAAACATCCCCTTGGCTGAGTGGGAGGAGAGACTGGAGAGTGCCACGTGCCTGTACCAGGTCCCAGCCCAGCTGATTACAGACCTGGCTATTAACACCCTAGAGGACGACACCCACCAGGCAGTGATGCCGCTGCCAGAGGAAGAGTGGGCTACCTTACAACAGATTGTGTCACACCTAGAGGGACTGTTTAGAGAAAAGATACCAGTCATGGAGCTGATGCGAAGATTCTGTCAAGAAACAGGAGGATGAAAGTCTCACTCATTATGTGGTATCCATGCAGAACCTCTGGAGGTGCCTGGAAAAGTGGGATGTGCACACTTGTGCCGAAATCACCACCTCAGACCACATGCTGAGGGACCAATTCATAACTGACATGAAAGCAGACCCAGTCCAGAAAGCCCTGCAAGAGACAGTCAGAACGTAACCCACCATTTCCTTCCATGATATTGTGGTGGGTACGCAAAAGCAAGAAGAGGCAGAAGCAACCATGGCAGTGACCAAGAAGTATGAACCTGTGTACCTGAAGGAGGAGGCCTTGCCTCCTTTACCCTTGTCAGTCCTACAAACAGCACTGTGAGAGCTGGCTCAGGATGTAGCCTGCTTGAAACAGGAGATGTCCACCTTTAAATGGGACTCTCCCCAACCTCATAGGGGCTAGAACCCATTACGCAGGAACCCTGAGGAGGACCATAAGTGCTAGCAGTGTGGCTGCTATGGACATATATCCAAGAACTGTGGGTGATCTGTATTCAAAAACTCTTCCAGGCCGGATGATCCCCAGGACTGGCAGCTGAACGTTCTAGCGAGCCAGAGGCCATGGTTGCACCAAGTCCAATTGTATCAGCCCTTGTCAATAGCCAGAAAGGCCCATGCCTGTCTGACACCGGGTCAGAGGTCACTGTCGTGGAGTATGACTTTTATGCACGGAGGTTCAGGGCACGGGAACTGGATCCCTGCTGGCTGTCCCTCAGAGTGGCCAACAATCTACCTATCCTGTTTGAAGGCATCACCTGGGTAAGGATTCAAACCAAGGACCAGGTGGTGGAGCAGGTTGGAGTAGCGGTGACCCTCCGTCAAATTAATCTGGCAGTGCCTGTTTTGTTGGGCATGAACATTCTGAAAGACTTGGACTTACCTAGCCTGTTGGCCAAGTACAAATATTCTGGCCAGTGGGCCCGGGGCTGCAGCCTGCGGGCAGTATAGCTTAGAGTGCCCTAGGTCTTGAGGTCCAATGTAGGGCAGCCAAGAAACAACCAGAGCAAGTAGTGTGGTGCGCACAGTTGCCCCCAAGCAAAACTTACTCCTGACTCCCCTACAAGAGGTGGTCTGGTCGCTCCTCGTTGGGGCCCACAAGAAGTTACAGGGGACCACTCTTATGGTCAAACCCTGCAAGGACCCCGTGATGCCAGGGGAGTGGCTGGTGGGCCATACCTTGTCCAAAGTCCACCAAGAAGGAGTCTTGGTACAGTTTATCATTCTGGGAGCACCACCAATATCCCTGCCCAGGCACACCACTTTAGCGGATCTTTATGTGGCACCTCATTACTGCATCTCTAACCAGGGGTAGAAACAGTATCTGCCCCTCTAAAGACAGCCACGGTGTCATGGGACGAGGCACAATAGAAGTTACTACTGGAACACCTGGATATACCCTTCCAAGACTTTCCTCTGCAACGACAGAGACTGCTCCATCAGTTGCTGCAGAAAAACTTGCTAGTGTTTGCCACCAGTCCAGAGGATTATAAGTTTACTGAAGCCATCAACCATCCAATCCACACAGGGGATACACTGCCCATCCGAGAGTGGTATCAGCACATTCCCCAAGCACTGTGCCAGGAGGTCAAGGATTTGCTCTGAAATATGCTATAGAGTGGGGGTGATCTGGGAAAGCTGCAGTCCCTGGGCTGCCCTCGTTGTCCTGGTGTGGAAGAAAGATGGTTTTGTGTGCACTATTGCAAACTTGTGTGTGTACCCACCAGAATGCCTAGCCTAGTACAGAAATTGTTAATGGTCTTTGGACAATCAAGTTCTTCTCCACTCTGGATCTAGCTAGCGACTACCTCAAGTCCTTGTTAGGGACCAAGACCGAGAAAAAGATTGCCTTCATCACACCCTTAGGACTGTTCAAGTTTAACCACATGCCCTTCAGTGTAAGCAATGCTACCCATTACCTTTCATGTCCAATGGAAAGATGTCTTGGAGAGTTCTACTTTTAAACTGTCAGTCTACCTGGATGATATCATCATCTTCTCCAAGACATTTGAAGACTACGTTAAACATAAATATAAATATATATTGTAAAGCGCTGAGCAAACGGTTGGCGCTATATAAATCCTGTATAATAATAATAATAAACATCTTGACCAGATGTTCTCACAACTAACATAATATGGAATGAAATCAAGTCCGGTAAGTGCCACATGGTGAAGCAAAATATCCAGTATTTGGGGCACATTGTCGAGGAGTGTCCCTGGACCCAGCCAAGATCCATGCTGTTCAGGACTGGCACCCCCTAAAAACTGTCACCGAGCTGCGCTCCTTCTTGGGGCTTGTGGGATATTATCATTGGTTCATCTCATGTGCCCATATAGCCGCCCACTTACACAACTGCTGAGTGGGCACACCACTCAAAAGAGGAGTGGACCCTCAACTCCTTGAGACACTAAAACAGAAACTGACCTCAGCACCATTGCTGGCCTATGTGGACTATACCAAGCCCTTCCAGGTGCACACAGATGAGAGTCTCCAGGGACTGGGGGCCATCCTGGCTCAGGTCCATGATGCCAGGAGAGGGTGATTGCTTACACCAGCCACAGTCTGGCTTGCTTACACCAGCCAGACACAGAACCCCCATAACTACAGCTCCCTTAAACACGAGTTGCTCGCCCTGGTTTGGGCTATCACTAAAACATTTGCTAGAATTCCTCACTGGAGCTGACATAGAAGTCTTCACCATTAAG